GTTTGCCAAGTACTTTAAGATGGAGAATGGCAGTGAGTATCGGACACTCCTGAAGGCCTTTGGAATCCGTTTTGATGTACTTGTATATGGAAATGTGAGTCCTCAAACCAGACCAGGGTGGAAGGGTCAGGGGGATGCCCAGGGAAGATGCAAAAGGAGCCAATGGGATCTTCAGGGAAAGAGAGCAACAGACCTTTGAATAAGTCAGTGCCCCTGGGATGCCTTTACTCGTGGGATCTGAAGTCTCTGTGAGCTCTCTGTAGGATTGTTCGGAGGGAAGGACCTCTTATTAAATACCCTCCAGCATTCATTTTTCCCCCTCGAGCTCACTGTGTCACGTTGTGTCCGCAGGCTGGCAAGTTTAACATCATACCCACCATCATCAGTTCTGTGGCAGCCTTTACCTCAGTGGGAGTGGTAAGTCTGGGCTCCTGGCACCTGAGCATTCCCAAAGTTCCTGGTTAGGGTGGGCAGAGGGCCTCTGTGCTGGGGCTCCACGGTCCCATTATAGCAACACAAACTAAGGCACATTTTCATCTGTCCACCGCGCATCTGCCTGTCTCGTGGTGGCATCTCAGGTGACAGTTCTCTCTCTTCACTGGGTTGCCATGAAAATGAATTTTGGGGTGGCCAAAGTAAGTAAAAAGAGACAGTATTTGGTAAGATGGGCACGTCCCCTCTTTCCACACCTCTACCCATGCCTCTCTGTCTACCTTTGCACCTCTATGTTTCATCGTTAGAATATTGGATTTAGAATCAAAGGGAAATCTCTGCCACTTCACAGCTCTGTGACCTTTATTACTTTATGTCTCCAAGTCTCAGTTTTCTCATCTATAAAATGGGAATGCTAATATTTGAATTCTCTGCCTCTTCAAGTTGTTGGGAAGAAAGCGTTTTGTAAACTGATCATTCTATGGAAATATGAGTTGCTATTAGCTTTACACTGGTCAAGTCAAGTTCTGTGCCCTCTGTTGCTCTCTACCTGTTTCCTCCTTTCCTGGCCACTGGCCCTTGCCACTGCCCATGCCAGGTCTAGTTCCTGGGATCTTTGGCCACCAACAGTGTCTCTTCCCTCCAGGGCACAGTCCTCTGCGACATCATCCTGCTTAACTTCCTAAAGGGTGCAGACCAATACAAAGCCAAGAAGTTTGAAGAGGTAAGGACCCCAAGAGAGGCCAGAGGAAAGCAAGGGAAGAGGGGAAAGCCAAAGTAAAGGAGCAGCAACTAGGAAGAACTGGCTGTTCCTGTCTGAGCCTCTCAGAGATGCTATCACAACAAGGTCCGGTCAAGAGAGCTAGGGAACAGGGAGGTAGTACCTGCTGCCAGTAGCCCCAGTAAGGGTACCAGCTTCTCTCCCATTGTCTCTAGGCAGAAATTAAAATCACAGAGATCCAAAGCTTCTGGTCAGCATTTCCAAACCTGGCCCTAATACGATAGCTGCCAAGTTGAATGTACTGGCAGAAGGGAAAATAAAAGAGCCAGGTGAGAGTTCATCCTGGCAGAGCAGTAAAACTGCTTTCTCTGTGTGTGAGTGTGTGTGTGTTTCCCTATGTTGTGTAGGTACCTGGAAAAGTCTTGTGAGTTGGGTTGCTGTAATTTGCCCAGAGTTTTCAGCACAGAAAACGTCTAAGAGTTGGGTAATTGTGATTTTTATGCCATGAAGTCAATGAGTTAAGTCCTTGGCAATATCTTTGGAACCTTTTCCCTTATTGTCCCAGGAATGCCTGTATAAGAGGCAAGATCTAGTTTTAGGACCCTGATAGGAGAAGGAAGTCCAGTGGGAGGAAAGGAGAGACGTAATTATGGGTGGGTCATGACAGAAAATAGGGAATTTTGAGGGTTCTAGGAACCCTGTTGCCATTCTCAGCCGCTCTTCCTGTAAGATCCCTGGGCCCGGATAGATACTACACCAGAATGTTTTAGGTTCCTGTCTTCTCCTCCCTTCTCTTCCAGGTGAATGAAACAACTCTGCGATCTGCCGCTTCTACCAACCCCATGTATCCCAGTGACCAGACCCTGGAGGGCAGAGAGGAAAAGCAATCCACAGACTCTGGAGCCTTCTCCATTGGTCACTAGGCCTCCTCACACCAGTTTATCATTAACCTCATGCCCTAGGAATCGATACCTCATAACAGTGGACCTTCCACTGGGGAGGAGGGGGAAAGGGGAAGAGGCTCACTTTAGGAGTGGCAATAACCCAGACCCAGTTCCCAGACTTCCCAGTGTGCCAGCCAATCGGCAGTGCTCCCTGCTAGGGCTGTGCACAATCTCATGGAGAGTTTGTTACCCTCCAAGGCTTCTTCCGTCATACCACTCTTCCCATCTCAGAAGCTGAAGTCTTTCTCATGCCGCTGCCTGAGAACACCCTTGATCCCCTTCCTCATTGCATATACTCATGTGTAAAATATCTCTTTGGTGTGATTGTGATATTGTCTTCTGTGTATCCACACTAAATGATTCCCTGCATGTCATGAAGGTTATTATGAGCTCATTGTGAAAAGAAGCAAAGAAGAAAAACTGGTGCCCAAGGTGGACCCCTGGAACAATAATGAAGTTTGTTGACATATTCCCACCTTCTCTCTCAGGTCATTCCCTTACTTTAGTTCCTCCTTATTGTCTCCAGGATAAAAATATAAACTCCTAAGTCTGGCATTTAAGAAACATTGCCTCCCTTCCCAGCTTTATTTCATATTACTCCTTTTTACACACACTACATTCCAGCCAAACCAGAATATTACCTATTGCCTCCACTTGGCATCTTGTCTCCTACCTCTGGTCCTTCATACAGGCTGCCTTGTTTGTGTGGAATACACTCACTCCTTATCTCTGCCTCTCAATGTTTTTGCTCTTCAATGCTTATCTTGGGTGACACCTCCACCATTAAGCCTCCCTTGATCCCCTTCCCCCCAATGCTGGTACTCTCTCTCTCTCTCTGTCTTCATATTACCTTGTATTTACTTATCTATGTGCATGTTGTATCCCTTAGTAGAATGTAAGCTCCTTGAGGGCAAGGACTGTGTCATCTTTGTCTTCATATAGCCAGTATCTAGCACAGTGACTTGCATGTCATAGGCACTTAATAAATATTTATTGCATTGAATTATCCAACCCTTGCTTCTGACCACCTTCCTAGTCCAAGCACTTATTCCATGTTTCATTTCCACAGGTTCTTCCTCCCAAAAGATTCTAGACCAATTCATTCTCAAATGTGTCCATAGCTAATGATAATTTAAAGTGACCCTTCCCAAGGGTTGATAGGGGATTCTTTTTTTCTCTTTTTTTATTAATTTATTTTGATTTATCAGTAATCACTTCCATATGCTTTTGAGTTTAAAATTTTTCTCCACCTTTCTCCCCACCATCCTCCCCAAGACGGTGCACAATCTGCTATAGGCTATACATTTACATTCCTATTAAACATATTTTCACATTAGTGATGTTATAAGTAAAAATTAAAACCAACAGGAGGAACTATCAGAAAAAGGAAACAAAACTCAACAGAAGAGAAAAAAAAGTAGCAATTCAACTTCCATAGTTCTTTCTTTGGATGTGGACAGCATTTTCCATCACGAGGCCTCTGGAGATGTCTTAGTTTCTTGTATTGCTGGGAAGGGTTAAGTTTATCAATATTAGTCATCACACAAGGTAGCTGTTATTGTGTACAACATTCTCTTGGTTCTGCTCACTTCACTCAGCATCAGACCATATGAGTCTTTCCAGGTTTTTGTGAAGTCAGCCTGTTCGTCGTTTCTTATAGCACAATAGTATTCCATTACATTCATATACCACAACTTGCTCAGCCATTCCCCAATTGATGGGCATCCTCTCAATTTCCAATTAAAAAGAGCTGCTATAAATATTTTTGTACATGTGGGTCCTTTTCCCATTTGTATGATCTCTTTGGAATATAGCCCTAGAAGTGCTATTGCTGGGTCAAAGGGTATACACATTTTGATAGCCCTTTGGGCATAGTTCCAAATTGCTCTCCAAAATCGTTGGATCAGTGCACAACTCCACCAACAATGCATTAGTGTTCCAATTTTCCCACATCTTCTCCAACATTTAACATTTTTCTGTTTTGTCATCTTGCCCAATCTGATAGGTGTGATGTGGTACCTCAGAGTTGTTTTGAATTGCATTTCTCTAATCAATAGTGATTTAGAGCATTTTTTCATATGACTATAGATAGCTTCCATTTCTTCATCTGAGAACTGTCTGTTCATATCCTTTGACCATTTATCAATTGGGGAATGGCTTATACTCTTATAAATTTGACTTAATTCTCTGTATATTTTAGAAATGATGCAAAACTCTAAGGATTTTTTTTTAATTTTTAGGCAGTTGGGGTTAAGTGACTTGCCTAGAGTCACACAGCTACTAAGTGTCAAGAATTTGGTCTGAGGCTGGATTTGAACTCAGATCCGCCTGACTCCAGGGCCAGTGCTCTATCCACTGCACCACCTCGCTACCCCGATAGGGGATTCTTGACTATTTTGAAAACCTTCAATAGGCAAAGGAGTGATTTTCTCTTTTTTTTTTTTTAGGCAATTGGGGTTAAGTGACTTGCCCAGGGTCACACAGCTAGTAATTGTGTCAAGTGTTTGGTCTGAGGCCTGATTTGAACTCAGGTACTCCTGACTTCAGGGCCAGTGTTCTATTCGCGGTGCCACCTAGCTGCACCCTAAAGGAGTGATTTTCGAATGGTAAATTTCTAGGCATTATGACAGTTGATGGGGAAGATATTGGGGAGCTGCCTAACATGACAATCATTTTTTTTTCACGGCACTAACAGAGAGGGAAGAGGCCATCTGATTCAGCCTATACTTGTGACCCAGAAGCCTCTTGTATAAACATATCAAACCTATGTAAATCCCATTAGACCAAACAAAGCTCAAACCCTCAGAATGTGATCACAACCCACTCCAACTGAACTAATGAGTCTCAGAGCCTTGGAGACAGTCCTCATAAGGGCTCTGGTTGGGAATTTATGGGCACTGGGGCCACCTTCATTCCAGTGCCCCAAGGGAAATAGTCTTCCTGTCCAGATTCTCAAACTGAAGCAGGGGTGGGGTGCAGAAGGTGGCTGTACTCAACCTCCTCTCTTTCCTGCCCAGGAAAGATTTGTATTCAGGAAGACCTGAGCACAGGCTGCCAGGTGGCCAGTCACAGAATCTCAGAGTTAGTAAGGACTTCAGAAGTGACTGCATCCAACCTGCACTGAACAAAGAGATCTCCTTTTCGACAAGGGGATTATCCAGTCTTTGAAGACCTCCAGTGAAGGGGGAGGGAGCCCACTCCCTTCTAAAGTAGTTTGAACAGCTCTCGATTGTCAGATATGTTCACAAAACTCCTGTTCAGGTTGGCATGAAACTGGATGGTCTCTTCCAATGTAAAAATTCTGTGACTCTCTACTCTGTCTTGGTCTGTATCTCTATGTTCTCTGTCTCTGTCTGTGTCTGTCTGCCTCTCTCTCTCTCTCTCTCTCTCTCTCTCTCTCTCTCTCTCTCTCTCTCTCTCTCTCTCTCTCTCTCTCTTTCTCTCTCTCTCTCTCTCCCCCACCCCCCCCAGCCACAGAACCCTAAGCCACTCCCTGATATCCACTCTGACCATAGCTGAAATGAGCTTTTTGCTTCCTCTCCTATTCCCACAGCCCCAGTGGCCTAGGCCTTTGCTTCTGTTAATAGAAATTAGGATGTCCATTGTATCAGGAACCCATTCAGACATTGTAGTGAAAGTTTCAGCAGCCCCTCAAAGAAAAGACAAAAGAGGACCTCTGGAAATTAACTGAAATTGATGATTCTCTGTAGCCAGCTACAGGTGGTGATGCTGTGCAGGTGGCAGTGTCTTCTCTAATCTCTCAGGTAAAATTTGGTTGGAGCAAACCTGAGCTGGAAGGGATCTTAGAACATAGAAACCAGGCAAGGGATAGACCAAGAGGCTGTAACTCACCATAATGTCATTCTCTTTACACCAACAAAGGAGACCTGGAAAGTGGAAGATGTTTCTCCTGATGATATCCTGATAATCTCCTCTCGCACATCCCCTCTCAACTCTCCAAGTTGATATCTCAGTGCTATAGCCACTATGTTAAGGCTCTGTCACCTAGCATCTTGGCTATGAAAGGCAGCATGGTTCAGAGACTAGTCATGAAGAAATGAGTTCAAATCCTACCTAGGACACATACTAGCTGAGCAAATTAGTTCCTTCTCAGTTTCCTTATCTGTGAAATGGGAATAGTAATAACTATATCTCTACCTCATAGGGAAGCTATAAAGTTCAAGTGAGATAACACATGTAAATTGCTCTGTAAAAAAAAAAATTTTTTTAGGCAATTGAGGTTAAGTGACCTGCCCAGGGTCACACAGCTAGTAAGTGTCAAGTGTTTGGTCTGAGGCCAGATTTGAACTCAGGTCCTCCTGATTTCAGGGCTGGTGTTCTATCTTGCTTTGTAAATTTTAAGGGGCTGTGTGAATGTTGGAGGTTATTCCTGACTGTTTGGCCCTGGGCCAGTCACATCATCTGTTTCCATATTAGGTAAATGGATCTCATAATCCTGGCACTATCTCTCTCACATGGTTGTGAGAGACACACCTTATAAACTCAGACAGAGCTGTCAGTTATCGTTTTGAAAAATATCTAAGACTCTATGTTGAAAATAAATAGCCACGGACTCTATAATTTTTCCCCAAAAAAACAGTTTACCACCGATCTTAACCCTAAGGAATGTTAAAGGGCTTTGCCAGCCTTTCTTCTCCCAAAAGGACAATAGCTCAATTACTCAGATGTACCTTTTATTTCCCTGTTCCAAAGGATGAGGGAAAGAGTACTAATGGAAAGAGTACTGGATCTAGAGTAAGAGAACCTGAATTCAAATCCAAATTCTACTCCGTATTACCTGTGTGACCTTGAACAAGTCACTTCCCTTCTCTAGGCTTCAGTTTCTCCCTCTGGAAAAAAAAAACTGAGGAGGTTGAACTAGGTGATCTCTAATATCCCTTTCAGCTTTGAATGTGATGGCCTTGAGTGATCCATTTCAGGCCTATTCTAAACAGGGTTGGGGGTGGTTCTGAATAATGACAGACAAAAGTCAGACATAACTGCAGGAAACCTGAGTTTATTGCAGCAGTGGAGAGGTGGGGTGGGGGCGAGGTGATGCAATAGGAACAGATAAAGGGCAATGGCCGATGGCATGAAGTCCTATGCCAGCCACTACCTGTATGGAGAGAGCAGAATGAAGATGGTCTTCCAGCCCTAGCCCTAAAAGAGGCACAAGATGTTCATATGTCAGAGCTGGAAGGACTCTCTGAACGTAGAATGTTAGGCTGAAATGGACCTTAGAAACCACCCAGCCTAACCCTGTCATTTTACATATGAGAAAATTGAGGCCCAAGGTTACAGTGTTAATAAATGGAAGAGCCCAGATCCAAACACAGATACTTTGACCAATCCAGTTGTTTTTCTGCTAATCATATTGGCCTCTCCATCTTAGCCGCTATGGACTCAACTGCCCCAAATCTATCACTCCAAAATTGGGAGGACCAGAAGAGCTCATAGCTCATAGCATCCTCTTCCACAATTGTCAAAGGGAGATGGAGATTATCCCAGCTTCCATATGGAGAACTCATTGTAATGTCACTGGCGTGGGGACTCTCTGCCCCACCCCCAACTTTGGAGTCAAGGCTGTCTGCTCTCAGGAGGCTCAGGTAGAGGTAAAGACATCATGATAAGTCTTCCTTACTGTCACTCCCACCTTCCATGTTCCCTGACTCACGATTAGTACACAAAGCCACGCAGCAGCCCCAACCAAATAGCGGCTGCCCTGTTGTCCAGTATGAAAAATGCCAGCTGCTCCTATCAATCCATTTAAATTTCTTGGCCAAGCACTATAGACAAGATGGAAAGAGGTAGGTCAAAATGGGTGAGACTGGTGACCTCCAAAATATCCAAGCCAAGGAAAATAAAACACCCAATCTTAGGGCTGAGAACAGCCTTAAAGCTCATCTCAGCTCATACCGAAGTAAATTAAGGCATAAAGTGACACAAAACTCGGAAGGACTGGGACTTGAAACCAGGTCTTCTGACTCACAGTATAATGTATATTATATTCTGCTGGTATACTTCCCTAAGAAAAGGCTGATAATACTCTGATTCTCACCTGCTGCTTCATGAGCTTGGGTATCTGTGTACTGAGGATGCTAAGTGGATGTCAAGTTCATAAGGACCATTTCTCTGGGAGCTGGGCCGTCTATGTATTCTCAGATTTATAGGGATCCTTTATCAAATCCTGCTTCTCAAGAAAATGGTGACAGAGTGTGAGGGTGGATATCACCAGGAATTCTCCACAGTTAGAAGTTCAAGGGTCTGGGATAAATTGAGGGATTCGTGAGGGCCCCTTTAAGAAGGGTCAGGGAAGAAATAGTCATGCACATATTTGTGCTTTCTTAGCCAGCTATTGGTGTGAGCTCCAGTCCAAACCCAGCCTTGGTTGATTTCTTTAACTAAGTTCTCAAGTTTGCAGTGGAACTCAGAATTGTGGGTGGAAATTAGGTTGCCCCTATAGTTCTGCTGAGAAAATCTCTGAGAAATGGTAGAGGGAAAAAAGCAGAAATAGGCACAAGGAGATGATAGTAGAAGGGGAAGATCATTCAAATCGAATCTCAGAGGCTTAGATTTCAGTCCAACTTCTAAGAATCGCCCCCAAAGGAATTCTCAGGACAGATAAGACACATTTTAACTCTATCCCTACATCAGCATCCATGACATTCAGAAAAAAGGTCTGTATCTTCTAGCCAATTCTCATTCTTCTGAACTCTATTTCTCTGTACCCAGGGCCTCCACCCCAGCCCAGCTCCCGCTCACCTGAGCCTCTGTAAATGTCTTCAGCTGTCTGACTAATATATGTCTGACAGTCTGAAACCCTGGGTTCCCCAGCACATAAACTGCATCCACTTTCTTGGGTTCCAGAATGTTATTATCTGTGGCAGCTGAGACTAACTCTGTGGCTTCTTCCTTCTTCTCAGAGGAGTTGTCAGCAGAGGTAAGAGCCTCTGCTCTCTCTGGCGTCTTTGGCTCTTCAGTCTGGATGTCTACTTCCTCTAGTTTCTCTAGCATAATAACCTCATTTCCTGAAACAAAGACAAGGAGCATAATCAATATTAGTCATACTCTCTTTCGCCTACCTGGAGGTACCACGGACAGCTCCTAGATCTTCAGGTCTTCAGAGAGTTTGTGATCTTAAAGCGTTATCTCAGAGGAGATCTCTTTTTGGTTGGTGGTACAGGTTGTAACAAATTTCAGTACAAGGATATGGGAGCATTACTTCTGACTCACACTGCAGGGCCATAACAGGATGTGTGGAGAGGGGGGAAAGTTGCTGAAAGACATAAGAAAAGCTTCAGACCCTTTACCCCAATATGTAGGGAGCCTAACCCTTTAAGAAGAGTCCACAATCTCCAATAGAAAGTTGAGGGAACATGCTAGAGGTGAATAAAGCCCATATTTATCTAGTCCTTTATGGAGGCTTCCTCAAAATGGACCACAAAAGACAATGGTAGTGCTAGTGTGGTTATGCCCATTTTGTGGAGTAGAAAACCAAGGTTCAGCAAAGGAAAGTAACTTATGATCCTAGAGTTGAATTGATCCTAGATTTAGAATTGGAAGGGACCTTTGAGGTCATCTAATCCAACCCTTTCATTTTATAGTTAAGGAAAACGAAGGAAGTTAAGTGATTTGCCCAAGGTCACACAAGTGAAAAATGGCAACTCCAGGATTTGAACTCCAAATCCAGCACCCATTCCACTGCACTACATTGACTCCCTAGATGAGGAATTAGGGGGGGAAAAAACAAAGGACATCTTGGCCAGTGATTTCATTGGCTCAACTAAATGACAGGCCTAGAGGTAGATCTCAAACTTAAACATGAAATCCATAAAACCTTACTTGCATTCTATGATGTTATCCCATAACCAAATTTAATTAGTTCAACCAACAAGATGAATCAATAGGAAAGTAGGATGGGTGGAGAAAAGATGGAGAGGGAGTTGAAAAACTTACTCAAGTAAAGAGATGAAACTGTCCCTAACAGGACAAGTGACAGAATGAGGGAGAGTTTCATCACTGCTCAGTTGCTGGAGTTTAGACACACTTTCTCCTCAGTCTGGGACTTCTCCCAAGAACCCCAGATGGAAAAGGAATTATCTATGTTAATGAAAATACTGGCCTAGGAAACATGGTCATGAGAAGGAGAAAAGGGAAGAAAGGATGTGCGGGACTTTAGTGGGGAGGGAGCACAATGTTAATTTAGTTTATAGATAAACATCCCTTTTTCAGAAGCATGCATCCCTATCTTTGATTCCCCCAAGATCTGGAGCTCCTTACTGAATTAAATGAAGAGCACTGCCCCACTCCAAATTATCTTCCTGATAGAATAAGCCAGGGAAGAAGGAAACAATAGTTCCACTTTTTGGAGTAAAGGTGGGGGTGTCATGGTAATTATAGATCTAAAGATAAATTGAGCATCTATCCAGAATCTCATGTTTCAGGCAGCCATGGGTCTTGGATCTTCCTAATGCTGCAAGGGGCAATACTTGCCTCCCTGGAGATGTGAGACCCAATTTCTCAGAGTCTCAGATGACTGAATGTTAGCCTTAAACCCTTATATCAGTGTTTTAGAGGAAGTGACCAGGGTGGGGAAGACGTTATTGCCCCAAGTCTAAGGAAGCATAAATTGATAACCAGCAAGGTTCCTCATTAACATCTGAGGGGAGACCATCCCTCCGAGGTTGCTCAAGTAAACAGTTATGGGGTCCAGTCATGAATCTGTTGTGGGGGTGCCTTGACATGAGACCCCTCATACTTGGAAAACAGCGTTTTCTTTTGAATGCTATCCCAGGGAAACATGGAAATACTTCAGGTTTAAGAGAGTTATAATTCAGGTGACTGGGGGAAGGGTGTTACCTGTGAAATCAAGACTATGACAGTATTACTGGCCTCTAAGGAAAAGTTTAGGTCCTAGACATCAAGTGAAGGTTTTGGAGTAAAAAGGAAGATCTCTATCAGAGTCATGTTAAGGTAAGAAAATGAGTCAACTGACCTAAGTCTAAGAGGATGCCTTCTAAGTTTCTTCTTCACTGATTGGGATGAGTGGCTGTCAATTATCTGCCACTCTCTCAAAGGCTCTCTAGGGAGCAGAAATACAGAGGCATGTAATAACTAGCTGGGCTTAGGGTGGCAATGGCTATAAGGCAGATGTTTTATGCTAAATGTGAAAATCTTTATAGAACTGTACCCCCAGACCCTAGTCTCACAAACAAAAGGCCTCAGAATCTTGGAGTGACTTAAGATAGCAGCACTGATTTTTAATTGCTGCTTGGTCTCAAAGAGGATGTAGGGACAGCTCTGTCCCATGTCCCCTAAGAAAAGGCCCCCCCTAGCCTGAGTCTTAAAGCCTTTCTTCCTAGTACAGGGTGTGTATGTGTGGAGGGTGACACTCAATCCTAGGTATTGGGAGATTAGGCTATTTAGTCACTGAGATTGGTCAATAGCCCCTGAGCTGTAAGATAAGCCCTCAGTGGTGAGGGGCAAACTCTCTCATCATGTTCTGGTGAAATAATGGCAGACAGTTGCCCTATGATATCAGGCTTTGGCTGCCCTTTGTTTCATGTTCAAATACTTCTCCAATTGTATGTGCAACCTGATCATCTGCACCCACTTTGACAGTGTACAAAGGAGAGCAAAAATTCCCCATAGCCTCATAGATTTAGAGATAGAAGAGTGGGAATTACAGGACAGAGGAAAGTAGAGGGAAGATGAGGAGATTATGAGTATCAAATATGAGGAAAGGTGATAGGAGAGAATGGACTAGAGAATTAGAGGGAGGGAAGAAGATGTGAAAGAAAAAGATGCTTGAGAGAGAAGAATAGAAAGAAAGGAAAGAAAGAGAGGAGAATAAAGCTAAAACATTCACACAGTCCTTGGGGAGTCATCCATTTTCCCATTTGGAGCTTGCCAGGTTCTTGTGCTCAATGTTTTTCTTCCTCCTGAATCCACTATCCTTGCATATCTCAAATCCACCATCCAAATAAGTCTAATCTTCACCGCCAGACCCTGGCAGAGTGCACAGTCACTTCAATTCCCTCCTCACTCATCTTCTTTCACAAAAAAAAAATGTAGACAGCAGTGAGACAGGTTGAAGAACAAGAGATTAGATGCCCTAGGGGTTCCTCTAATTCAAAGCTACCTTGGAAAACTTCTATGGTCATGTCACCACCATGGCTGACCACAGGCTCAGATCTGTTGGCTTCTCTCTGCATATACCCAAGCACCTGGCCCAGAACTGGATGTTTGCTTGTTGATTGATCTGTGTGTGATTGATAGACAAGGACTCAAAGACATTTCTTTAAGACCTACAGCAATAATAGACAAGTCACTGTTGTCAATTACAAGGAAATTTCTTGGTTTACAACCTGACCTTGCAAGAGGGCATCTTGGTGGACGGAGCACTGGATTGTAAATAAGAAGATCTCCATAACCTCAGGCAATCACTTTCCCCTCTAAATCCCAGTTGCTTCTCCTCTCAAATTGAATTAATAATACTTGCAGTACATACTTCACAATGTAGCCATGAGAGAAATGCTTTCTAAACTTACAATGTTTTAGAAATATAAATCGTTAAAATTACATCAGCAACACCGTTTATATTGAGGTAAAGATAGAAGAAACCTCTAGATAGTGGTCCCAGTGGCTTCCCAAGTCCACTTTGCTTCCAGAGTGTCCTCTCTTTCTCTTAAAATCAGCTGAGCAAAAGACCATTACCCAAGCCATGAGAGGAGGAGGAGGAGGAGGAGGAGGAGGAGAAGAAGAGGAGGAGAAGGATAAAGAGGAGAAGAAGGAGGAGGAGAGGAGGAGGAGGAGAAGGAAGAAAAGAGAAGTGTATGCATGTATGTAGGGGAGAATCAGACTTTTAGAAATCCTCATTAAGCCCCAAGACAACTGGACTATAGAGGGAGGCAGAACGGTACAGAGAGAGGGACACAGTACAGGTATTATAGATTTCCAGATCTGAAGTGTAAGTGTCTCTGCACACTCAATATGTGCAAGGCAGAGAAAGCATGACCTTTTCATTTGATAGATGAAGAAACACACCTAAAACTCCCCCATTCCCTAGTTGGGCAAATGCCCTGTTAGGGTCTGTAAAGAAATGCCTCAAGAGCTGTGTATCTATTCCATATTCCTTCTGCCCAGCACACCCAGAACACTGCCACAGCCAGTCAAAGCTAAAGTAAAGATTGGATAAGATGGCTTGGTGCCCTAATTAAAAATAATGCACATTAGATAGCATTTTATTACCTGAATGTGCTTTACCTATTTTTAAAAAATTTCTAAATTCTTTTCCTCTGCATTTTTTTTTTGCTTTTTGGTGAGGCAATCAGGGTTAAGTGACTTGCCCAGGGTCATGCAGCTAGTAATGTGTCAAGTTTCTGAGGCTGGATTTGAACTCTGGTCCTCCTGACTCCAGAGCCAGAGCTCTATCCACTGCAACACCTAGCTGCTCCTCCTCTGTATTTTCTTATTTGGTCATGATAAGCCTGTGTGCTAGGCAGGACAAGTATGATTACCCACATTTAACAAATGAGAGGATAGTCTCAGGGAAGTAAAGGGACTGACCCAATGTCACACAGCTGTTGAATGGAAGACCCACTACTCTAATCCAGAAGTCTGACTTCCAGATCCATACTCCTCTTTCCACCAAGCTATTCTCATCCTTAAGAGCCAATTGTTATTAATGACTCCTGAAGTTTTTAGATCTTACCCAATACTTGCTTTATTGGATTGGGAAGGTATGAAGAAAGGTAAATAAAGGATGTACAGAGAGACTGTATTGGGAAGATTTACAGGAATGGAATGCCAAGATACTCAGGTCTGGAATCAGAAAAACAAGGTTCCAGGTCTATCTATGCTCCTTACTACATACATCAAATGAGGTCCCTTCTCTCGGTCTCAGTGCCCTCATGTATAAAATGAAGGGCATGAACTAAAAGATTTTATGGTCCCTTTTGATTTAAATCTATGAGTTTGTGAACCTATGTTCCATTCTGTCTTTGGGTCCCAGTTTTCTTATCTATTTATAAGTGAGGGAGTTGAACTAGGTCAGAGGTTCTTAATCTAGACAGCTTCCATGACCTCAGGAGGTCTAGGAACTGGGATGAGGGGGGGGGATGTATCCTTTCTATATCCTCTAACTGAAGTTTATCATTTCTTTCAATTATTTAAAAATTATATTCTGAGCAAAGACCGCATAGGTTTCACCAGACTGCCGAGGTGTTCCATGACCCAAAATAGGTTAAGGACCCTTGGATTAGATGACCTGAAGGTTTCTTCGTACTCAAATAACAAAAATGCTTGGGGCTATTTCAGCACCCTGAGATCCACAGGCCATGTTCCAAGTTCTAAGGTCTTTTCCATCTCTGATCTTCAGGTCCTTACTAGAAACAAGACATATGAAATCATGCAACCAATAGAGTTGTCTATTCTAGTTCTCCGTCTCCACTTGCCATTGACTGTCCCACTTCCATTTTCCTTTCCTCCTTAAAAAGTGGTCCCCTATGAACCCCTTCTCAGTATCTGTGTGTAAGTCTAGTGGTCCCCTACAGGCTTGATGTGAAGGGGGTGCAAAGAGAACAAAGAAAGGAGCCCAATTCTCATTTCAAGAACTCTGATTTATTGCAAATGAAGGAGAACTGGAATCCCAGGCGGGAGAAGGGAGGGAGTTGACAGCAGAGTCTGCAGAGGATTCTCTGGGGCAGCCACTGGAAAGTCTATGGATTGGCCTGGTTCAGTAAGAGCAAATAAAGGGCAGCTTCCGGACACATGGAGCTCTTCGCCAATGACCCCCTGTGAAGAAAATAGGAGGCCTTCAAGTCTCCATATTCCTCCCCTTTACTCTTTCTCTTTCTGCCCTTCCCATCTTGACTACCCTCCAAAGAACTCCACTGCCTCATCACCCACCTCCATCACAGGGGGCCCAAAGTATCCCAAAGGCCTCTCCTTCAAAAGGGGTCCACTGACTTGGGGTTCCCATGAATAAGTCCAAGACTTCCCAATACTTGTGATATTTCTGCTATCCTGGCCATTGGCCCTAGGTACTAGGACTATGGTTTCAGGGTGCAGAGGTCAAAGGGGACAAAATGGAGAAGGCTTCTTTCCCCCTTATTGTCTCTTTCCAATCATATCCCTCCACTGCTCCTAGCCCCTACTTACCTCTGGTGCACAAGGCCACACAGTTGCCGCCACCATTTCCAGGCTGGCCACTTGCCCAGTAAGCAAAATTCCAATGGCTCCCATCAAGCCAAGAGAATCTCTTACAGAAACCCTACATGGAAAATGTAATGAGCAGATAAGAGAGAGCCCACACAGTGCCATTCTCCTTAGGCAGAGAAGGCAGATCAGGGAGTAGGCTGACAATATATCCCTGCTAGCTAGGCTCACTGATAGCCAGAGTGGGTGTGGTCCCATGCACCCACTGGGTATGTGGGGCAAAACTAGGAACTATTCTGGACAGATCTATAAGCAACACTTCTGCTGGAGATGTATAACCTAATACAAAACCTCAGAGCACCCCAAGGTTCCTAGTCCAACTCTGATTCTCCATGGCATAACAAGGAGACAACATCGCCAATTGTGCCCAAAAGCCATCGGTCCTAGATTGAGACAAAGAAGCTAACATGGCCCCTAAATGGAGATCCATGGAAGAAATAACCATGACAGGTGCTAGACTCTTGTCACTTACCCAACCAGTGATATGGCCTCCAATCCAAACCTGGGCCTGGTTGAGTTGTTGAGATGTTCTATAGATTAGACAATTGAGGTTGTAGTTGTGGATGGAGACCAGTCTGCCCCTGTAGCAGCTCCGGCAGACAGCCTGGAAAGATGGGATATAGAAGAGGGTGTGGGAATGAGGATAAATGACACCCTTCCTCCACATTATAGTCATCATAACCCTTGTAAAAAGTTGTTGTTAAGCTCTTTAGGGTTTAAATCATTTTTGTCATATGTCTTGTATGACATTCTCCCAACTTACCTATATGGAAGGACATCATCACTTAAAAATGCTTTAAAATTTATAGAGTACTTTCTTCCCAATAGTCCCATGCAATCAATTGTGTCAATATCATAGTCCCAATTGTGTAAGTGAGAAAAAATAGGAGTCCAAGGGGAACTGACAGCTAGCAAGAAATAGAACCTAGGAAATTTGATTCAATGCAGTCTAACCCAATCCAATCCAATAAGTCATCCTTAAGATACAGTGTACAAGGCAAGACCTAGGTCTTCTGGGTCTCTATCTAATTTGCTTTCTGTTATATTTGGCCAAATGTATTATCTGACCAGTTAAAGTGAGCTGACTATTGTAGTTTCTGTAATGAACAATTTGGCAGAGTTGTTCTGAAATGGGATTCAGAAAATCTTTATTCCACTCCTTGTTCTGTCACCACATAGCAATCTGACAATGAGCAAATCCAAATTGTTATGAGTCTCAATTTCCCTATATGTTTAATAAGTAGCTTATAGTAGATTATACCTATTATTCCTTTCAGCTCTAACATTCCACAATTTCTATTTCAAGATGCTTTCCAAGTTCTAGTAGTATATATTTTAAAGTCTCTTCCACCTTTGATGTTGTATTTTAGTTATTATCTATTGATTCTTTGTAAGTCACTTAACTTCTCTCTCAGTTGCCTCATAAGTGAAGTGATGAGTTTGGACTAGATGATTTCTAAGGTTAACTCAATATGCCTTCAATCTATGACAGTCTTCAGAAGTTCTATGGTCTCTTCTAGCTCTGATAAACTATGTTCTAAGATTCTTTCCAGATTTGATGTTCTATTGCCCAAGATTCTATGCTTCTATTCAATATGCTATTGAGGTCTTTCAATCTGTCACACCTCCATTGCATATTTCCTTGACAAGTCTAACATTTTATGGTTCCCTGCTTCTAATAATAGTCCCACTCCTGTACCTCACTCAATATACTCCCGCCAATTTCTTTCCTCCCTTTTTACTCTTGATCCAGCTTCTGTGACATTTTAGAGTCTTTCCCAATGGTAATTAACTAATAAGGAAGGGGTGAGTCCCTTATCTTCCAAAACTTTCTTATAAAATTAACTTTTCCTTACACTCTTCCCCAGTGATCAGTGTTTTCACTTACGTCAGCATTTCCAAATGTTTGTACTTGTCTGATTAGCAGATATCGGCAGCTCTGACACCCTGGGGTACCTGCCAAATGAACTACATCCTCTTCCTTGGGGCACACATTATCATCTTCCTTAGTAGCTGTGACTGGGACTGACTCCGAGGCTTCTTCCTTCTCCCACCAGGAGTCATCTTCCCCAGAAGCCAGGCTCTCCTCTTCATCTGAAATCACTTGCTCTTGATTCAGTGTCTCTTCTTTCTCTGGTGTCTCTATCTTGAGATCCTCGTTCTCTGGAATAGAGAAAAAAGAACTGACCAAAAATGTCCCTCCTATTCTTTTCATTGATTTCTCTCAGGAAACCATGGACAGCTCCCAACTCTACAATGCCTTTGGAATGGTTAGTGATATTAAAGCCTGAAATTATTCCCCATTCATGCATGAGGAAACCAGGGCTGAGGAAGGGGCTATGACTTGCCCATAGTCACAAAGATAAATGGCAGACCCAGTGCTAGATTCTAAGGGTTTTTTTTTAATCCAAGAACAATGTTCTTTTGTATCCACCTTGTTGGCCTTATAAGCCTAGTAAAAGAATCAGGTGAAAATCTGGGCCTAAGCCCACAAGGAACAAGAAAGAACAGAAGAAGAAAATAGAGGGAGAATGAGGCATGAAAAACTTACTCAAATTAAAGGAGGACACTGTTCCCAACAGGACAAGTGAGAGGATCAGACAGAGCTTCATCTCTTCTCAGTGTCAGGGGCACAACCTTTGTCTTTCTCTGTATGAGGCTTCTCCAAAAAAAAAAAAAGTTATAAAGAATAAATAACTTCACACAATAAATAAACAAATTCTGGGATATGCAACATGGCCACAAAGAGAGAAGGGAAGAAATAATCAGAAGAGGAGGACAATTTTCAATTTGCTTGGATAGATGTGTCTCTTTTCCAGAATCTAGCCTACCCCTCCCAGAACTTCATCAATGCAATGAAGGAGGAGCATTGCTCCACTCTAAATTCACTTCCCAATAGAATAAGCCAGAAAGTAGAGAAGCCATGGAATTTCACCCCAGTGTAAGTGAGATCATAGTGGTCATCTGACCCCTGGAGATGCCCTCATTGGGCTTTTCCCAAGTCTCTTGTTTCAGGCTAGCCCCTGAGTCCCTCATCCTTCTACTGCAAGAGAAATACTTACCTCCTTGGGAATCTGAGACTCACACCCTCAGAGACTTTAACAACTGAGCTCCGTGGATAGCCCTTATATCAGGACTTAGGAGGAAGTGACCAATGGGAAAGAGTTGTTGCCGCAGATGTGAGGGAGGATGAGATGATAATCAGCAGAGTTCCTCATTCCCTTTTTAGAGAAACTTTTCCTCTTCAACTGCCTTGAAGGTCAAAGGAGTCAGTCCTCAGTCTGTCCTGATGATGACTTCCCATTAGCACCCACATAATGTGGGAATTTCATATCCCTCTGTTCCACAGAAGGATGGATAATCTTAAGAGGCCACATGGAGAAGTTAGATTCAGGTGTTAGGAAAGTCTGTGAAGTCAGGCCTAGGAAATATATTGTTTTGCTGACAAAACAATATATTTCTTCAGGACAAATTTAGGTACAGGAATTAAAAGAAGGAATGAAGGCATGCACTGACCAATCTTGTGCCCCCAAAAGACCAAGGATGAAGCGTGCTTCCTATCTCTTGTCAGATATCTCAGGGATAAACTGAAATGCAGAATTTTGAGATGTGGTCAATATCTGGATCTGTTTTACTTAACTACTCCTATTTGTTCAAGGGAAGGATTTTTAGGATGGAGTGGGAGAGTTGGTCTGGAGAGTAGGTAGATGGTGACAGTTATGTGGAAGAAGAAGAACAGAAAGGAAGGTGCAACAGTAGATTTTTTAAAAAATACTCAGAAAAGTATTCTAGTGTTTAGCACAGTTCCTGGAATAAATTAGGTGCCTAATAAATGCTGATTGACTGATAGAAGAGAGTAGAAGGAAGTTCAGAAGGGGTACAGAAGGGCAATTTTGTCATGTAAAATTTAATATAGTTTTAAAACTACTTAAGAGAACTTCCAGTTTCATATCCAAGATTCTTTTTCCTTGCATATTAAAATGTTCATGTTTGTTGATGTTTGCTGAATTCATAATAAAAATTAGAATTGGTGAGGAGGCTACTAAAAAAAAGGAATGAGTTTGTGAATGACAATTTGTATCAGTCATTTGCAGATAAGACGACTCAACTGAGCCACCTTCAGAAGGATTGTGTTTTCAATTGATTCCCCACTAGCTGCGCTGAGTGTCTCAATCATTCACACTCCCTCCAATCTCCCTACTGAGCAATAGCTTTGGGCCATAGGAATTGTTGAGAGATATTTCCTTTGCAAAGTATGCAAGTTCATATGAGTCCAAACCTCAGGCCTTCAATCCATTAGCAAGAGACTCTCTTCATCCAGCTTCACAAGTCTAAGAGTGCTAGTACGTCCTGAGTTAGAGGAACTGGTTTGGAATCTATGACTGACTTCCAAGAGGCACGAAGGATACTTCTGTCTAACGACCCAAAGAAAAGTTATCCTTAGCTCCAAGGCTCATGATCCCCATCTCAGCCTGGAAAGGCCTCAAGCCTTGACCATGAATTATCACATATTTGACCAACAGTCTTAGCCAACAGCTCAAGATATGCAAGATAAGCTCTCAGTGATGAGAGTCATGGTTCATTTTTGTGATCCTTTGGAGATAATGGGTGGGACAGTTGCCTGTGAAATCAGACCTGGGATGCTCTGTACTGTCTGGGCAGACACTTCTCCATTTATAGGCACTGTAAGTCTGGTTAGGAAGGTCAGAAGACCTGTCCTTAAATCCCATCCCTGACAAATACTGCCTATGTGCTCTTTTTTTTTCTTTTTGGTGAGGTGATTGGGGTTAAGGGACTTGTCTAGGGTCACACAGCTAGTAAGTGTTAAGTGTCTGAGGCTGGATTTGAACTCAGGTTCTCCTGACTCCAAGGCCAGAGCTCTATTCACTGTGCCACCTAGCTGCCCCTTGCCTATATACTCTTAAGCACATCATTTAACCACTCTTGGTCCCTATTGCCTTAAGTATAACATGGGGGTGCAAGTTGGACAAGATGGCCTCGAAGGTCCCTTCCAGCTCTAAATTCATGAATTAATAAAGGTCCTCTGACCCTATTTCCCAGGGCAGTTGAGCACCACATTTACATTATCCCATATTTCCTGAGTATGAGCTGCAAGAAGAATGAGAAAGTCCCCCAAGTAGTGCTCAGGCGTTTCATGTCTCTGACCCTAAGAAGTCTCTGACCCAAAGGTGACATCTTCACCCCATCTTTCTTGAGTTTGGGTTGTAAGACAAATAAAGGAGAAGGTCTCCAAATGGTGCCTGGACACTGCATGTCAGAAGTCTCTGACCCAAAGGTGACATCTTGGGTGGCTATCTGACCCACTCTGTGTCCTTTACATGTTTGATAGCTGAGTCTAGGTGACATTCCGTGCACTAAGGGCCTCAGGGGCAATGAACCATCAAGGCACTATTTTGTGAGGCTACATTGATGGAATGGGTTCTCATTTGTTAGAAGCCTGGTGCCCTGGAAAGGAAGCAGACCCTCACAAAGCACTATTGGTTTGGGGAATCCCACTGACCTGTAATGAAAGTGTCACTGAAATGATACCAGAACCCACTTTTTTTTTAGCAGACCTAAGATTTCATCAGTATAAGGAGCTCTTGGTGAGCACCTTTCTTTCCCATTATAGATCAGCACCTTTTCTGCAACTTAGAGTGTTAATGAGTTTCCTGGGACACTAAAAGGTTAAGTGACTTGCCCAGGGTCACAGAGTCCAGTATGTGTCATCAGGGGCCTTAGAAGCCAGGCCTTCTTGATACCAGTTTCATCCCTCCAGTCACTCTGCAGCACTGACTCTCAGGACCCATTATAGGACATGGTAGCCAAACTATTATCTGAGAATTAGTATGATATAGTGGCTAGAATACTGAATTTGGTGTCAGAAAGACCTGGGTTTAACTCATGCCTCCATGGGTGTGTTTTGTTTTGTTTTGTTTTTTACCTTCACTGATACTAAGTTTCTTCCTCTGTAAAATACTCATCTCTCCCTCACACAGCAGTGAGATTCAAATGGGACAATATATATAAAACACTTTATGAACTTTCAAGCTCTGTTATTATCTGAAAATTACAAAGAAGCAGACCTTCTTTCATAATCCAGCCTGATGATGTGGGAAGCTATTACTGAGGTAAAAAAAAAATAGGTTTAGAGGCAGAAGATTCCATTTAGTCGCTATCGTCACCAGCTGCGTGACATTGGACTAGTCCATGGGTGGGGAACCTGTGGCTTCAAAGCCACATGTGGTCTTCTAGGTCCTTGGATGGGGTCTTTTGACTGAGTCCAAGTTTTATAGAACAAATCCTTTTATTAAGGGAATTTGTTCTATGAAGTTTGGATTCCGTCAAAGGGCCACACTTGAGGGCCTAGACGACCGTATGTGGCCTTGACGACAGATTCCCCAGTCCTGGGCTAGTCCATTCATCTCCATGAGACTTAGTTTCTAATTCTGTAAAATGAAAGTTATCAGAGGTACCTTTTCACGAACATGTCTTTCCCACTCTCTCAAAGCTAATGGAGCCATTGTTTTTTAGCCTCTATTGAAACCTTGGCCTCTGACTTAGCTTGTAGTTTCCTATTTTAAATTGGTTTTATGACTCTGCCATCTGTCTAAAGTATACAGGCCTCACAGAAACATCCCCAGTGATCACTCCTTAGAGAAGTGACCTGATGGAAATTTCCCTCCATAGACCTAATTGTTTGGCCACGTTGTCTTTGGCCTTTCAAAGTCTTTCCCCATCTATTGTATGTATCTCAAATCTGAGATCATTCAATCTTCATTATTCCCTTGGGAAGAAGGTAGGGAGGTCAGGTATGCATTTTTTTCGTTCATTCATTCATGCATTCATCCATTGAATATTGTGTGCAAAACTCTAAGCCAGCTTGGTAGTATTTTATTCAGCCCATTTAATAGATGAAGAAGTAGACATAGAAATCTTTCATTCTTTGGGTGGAGAGACACCCTGCCCACTCCCACCCCCTATGTAGGAAGTAACTAACTCTCTGTGTATTTATGGTACATTCTTTTCCTTAGCAGAGCTAGAGGTCTGCTGCTACCTTTGAGCTACAGTCTCTGGAGTGGTTTACCATTTTTCCTTCTCTAGTCCATTTTACAGATGAAGAAACTAAAGCAAACAGGATTAAGTGACTTGCCCAAGGTCACCCATCAAGTATCTGAAGCCAGATTTGAATTCAGATCTTCCTGACTTCAGACCCAACACTCTATCCACTGTGCCACCTAGCTGCCCAATCATAGATACCTTCCCCAAACTAATTAAATGTGATTCTTCTATTTTGGAGATTCACACAGACACAAATAATATTGCTAGAAGGATTGCTAAAAATTGTAAAGTCATTTTTATTTTTGTATTGCCAGAGCCTAGCTCAGTGCCTGGTAGATAAAAGCCCATTGATAAATGCTTTTTAATTGAATAATTGATCGAATGAGGAACTGAAGACATAAGGATCACAGGTGATGTTTCCATCACTATTGTCAATCAAAGACAAGAACTTTAGAAGAGAAAGGCAAATTTGGGATGTGAACAGAGAGCTAAGAATATGGTGTTGGAAAATGGAATTTGAATTTCTGGACCACAGCTTAAAATTTAGGAATGATGGGCTCTTGTCCAGGAATGGAATGCACCTAAAAGGAGCTGATTTTTTTTTAAAGCATCTGCCTGGAGAACTGAAAATCTAATCATAAGGATTCTCAATTATAAGGTTTAACTTTTTGTTAATTTTTTAACTACTTGGACAATGGAATAAACAGCATCCTCATGAAATTTGCATGACACAAAGCTGAGTAGGATCTCTAACACACTGGAAGAGAGCTCTAGTCAGGATCCAGGAAGCTCTTGACAAGCAAGAGCATTGGCCTGGATCTAGTAAGCTGAAATTCAATAGATAAATGTAAAGTCTTACACTTAGGTTCCAAAAATCATCTTCAGAAGCATAGCATGGGAAAAACAATTTTAGACAGCAATTTGGCTGGAAAAAATGTGTGGGTTTCAGTGGACAGCAAACTCAATTTGAGTCGGCAGAGTGACGTGAAGCCAAAATAGCTTAATTTAATCTAAGGCTGCCGCAGGGAAAGTGTAGTTTCCAGGAACAAGGAGTTGTTAGCCTGGCAATACTCTGCCCTGGTCACCCCAT